GAATGTGTGTGTGAATGGGTGGATGACTGGATGTGTAAAGCGCTTTGGGGTCCTTAGGGACTAGTAAAGCGCTATATAAATACAGGCCATTTACCATTTTCAAGTTGTTGCTTTAAGAAGACTTCAGTTAATTTTCCCAACTTGTGGTCAAATACTTTTTCTGCTTCACAGAAATTCAAAAGAGTACACAATTTTACGTGTGCAGTTCTTTTTTTTGTGAAATGAAATTGGTTTGTTTAGTTGTTTCCATGTCGCCGTTCAGGTGTTTTCATCTGAAGGTGGGATGGTTCACCAGGTGGGGATGACACACATGAAGGATGATGCAGGCAAAACATTTGAAACGTCAAGTCTGGCACAATGAAACTGGGAAATGAACACTGAGCAAATGTGTAAAGTTGTGTCCTATGCTTCATTTTTGTGCAGTTTTTCTCATGCACCATTGGAAATTAACTTTGGAACTGAAGACTGTTGTGTTTTAACATGTATATATGTTTTTTGGCTGCTATTACCATTTTTCTTTTATGTGTGTTAACTGATTGACAGGAGGCAGCATGTGCAGCATAATTCAACACGTTCAGCTTTTACCGGGTTGATATTACAATAAAAGTTTAAAGCCTAAGATGCAACGATTTTCAAGTAATTTCACTTCCTAATAAATGTTCATACACGATTCAGTTTTCTTCATGTTCTTTTGATGACTAACAGAAAGGAAAGGAGCAAATACAGGAAGAAATATATACGAGTGGAAGCACATTTTGTACTTTTATCTAAAGACTGCAAAACTTTACAAACTTTTCTATCCAATCCCCAGGGGAGATTTAGCCAATGTGCAGCAAAAGATCAGCAGATATCTAATAAAATGCAGGACCTATTATGTCTGTACAATATGTGAGTACATTTGGTGCTCCTGTGCCTCCAGACAATGACTTGCACCTCTTTCCAGACCCTTAGCCACAACCGCAATAACACAACAGCCCTAGAGAGAACTCCCTGCCTCATCAGTCTATGAAATATTCAGACTCAATCCAGTGGAAAATACTCCTAGACAGTTTATCTCAGGCACCAAAAACACCAACTGCATCTTACTGTTAAACTGCTCGCTATTAGCAGCTGGGGAAATCCATCTCTCTTGGTGTTCACGGGTGGATCCGAGTCAAAGCAACATGCTGACCACCGCAATCCAGAAGCCGCTATAGGGCACATGAACTCCTGTGATACTCACAGCGACAGTGTGTTGGGTCGTGCTGATAGGAACCAGGTGGACAGGAAGCCAGGCACTGACTCCTATCGGGGTTCAGCAGGGGCAGCCTGGAGCCGCAGGACTGACAATCCCACCTGCTGGAACAGGTGGCACAGGATGATTGGCAGGCTGCAGGGGAGAGAAGGGAGAAAGGGGAACCAGTGGCTGTCAGTCACTTCCAAAATAAATTTTCACTTCACACGTGAGTTGCAAGACTGCTTGTCACATTTTAGTCCTCACTGCTGTAGTGGAAAGCAAAGGAAAATGGATGTGCAGCTCATTAAAAGGAAACCAAGTAACTCATTAAATCCAGTGAGTGACTTCCCTGACAGGCTGGCTGGGGTCTTCTAAGACTATGCAAAAGTACTGTTGAGATAACTATATTAGGCTACGCCATGATTTTCTAAAAATGGTCTTATTAAAGACTTCAAGCTCCTTAACATCTTTAACTTTAGCACTGACAGTAATTTTGAGCAGTGAAGTGTACCTATACCACGAAAAGATAAACTTTTTGGGATTTCCTTACCTGGATGATTAAACATGCATTAAGACAATGTATCTGTGAGCGGCACAATGAAACAAGAGCAACGAGAAGAAGGGAAACAAAGCAATGTGGAGGTTTCTGTTGTTTTTAATAGGAAATCTCAACATTATAGAAAAAAAAGCAGCTAAATCCCTTTGAAACCACCACAGCCACCCACACAGACACACATAAGTAGAAGAAGAGGAAAAGGAAGAAGAAGAGGAAGTAGAAATATAAAAAGCTAAAGGAAAAAAAGATTCCCAGAAAGATTAAAAGAAGTCTGAGAGGAAGAAGGAAAACGAGTGGGAGAGATAATCTTATCAACAATGTGAGTTCAGACTCACAACTTTATATTCGCCCACATGCACAAAGTAAAACAAAATAAAAGAAGAAGAAACTTAAACAGTGATAACAAACACACAGAAATGATGACTGTGACTGTGTGCAGCGCACCACTGATACAAGCTAAGTGACCAAAAATGTGTCACTTAAAGCTAATCAGAAATCAATAATATTTATCATCCCGTACTTAAACTAATGTCGCTTTCAGGATCCCAGCAAACGGCCCAAACGTCTGCTTTTAGTGATGACGTTCACGCTCGCTGATGATCACTTAAACAAGCACATTGATTAGCAGCGCATGGGTGGTGCTTACCCTTTTATGGATGGAAACAGTACTGTAGATTTGAAAGCGAGTCCTACCTGCACATACTCGTCCTTCGGCGTAGAAGCCCACTGGACAGACGGACAGGCAGCGGCCGAGATGAAGTAAGGCCTGTGGGTCCCTGCAGCTGTCACAGTGATCAGGCGTTCCCGAGCACGACAGGCAGTCTGCGTGGCACTGGACTGTAAACACACATCAAGTTAATTTAACTCAGAAATTTGGATTCCAATAATAACTGTGCATTTCGGGAAAAATCTGGATATTGGATTCCATTTTATTCAAGATTCAAGTTTATTCAGCAACTCTGGACAAATACTGTTGGTGCACGCAGGAGCACTTGGTACTCCACACACATTTTCACATTTAATTTTATGCTAATTATATCTAAAAAATCAAAAAGTCCTGTGCACTGACACTCTGCAGAGGCAGACACATTAAACTATGCAAAACCACACACAGAGACACACAATTTATTTATTTTTTAATAACTTCCATCCATTCCATTTGGTTCTACGGTCAGACTGTGTTAGCAGTAGCACATTTTACTCGGTTAACATGTATCCTGTGGAGAGATTTTGAATACCAGTCTGCTGTCTGCCAGCAACTCCACTGGTGCACTTTGTGATCAAGAGTTAAAGTGCTTTCTCTGCCCACTCTGGTTCCCAATTGATCCAGCATTTTCCCAAGTATTTATGAGTGCTAGACTGTTTCATTCATTTGCCAACTAACGGTATTTAAAAGTCACTCTTCACTGTGTAGGCCACTATGTAAACCTAAATATTAGGAGGAAATCTGAAGACCTAAAAACCCGAATAAGCAGATTCTGTAAGTCCAAAGATAAAGACCTGAACAGTAACCCTCTCTACTTTTAATATTGGACTTAAAAATGTCCTTTTTCATGAAGCATACAGGTCTGGTTGCATCAGGTGAGCTTGAATCCTGCATTAGTTACTCTACAACAGACTAAGGCACCTGGGCGCTTCCCATGATGCACTGAGCATTTCTTCTTCACTCGCATCTTTTCACTCTGTCCTTACACACTACTCTGAATTTAGAGTCAAAGTTAAAGTAAACTTTATTGTCATCTCCACTATATACAGTACAGCAGCAGTCCCCAAACTTTTTTGCACCATGGACCGGTTTATGCCCGACAATATTTTCATGGACCGGCCTTTAAGGTGTCGCGGATAAATACAACAAAATAAAACGATGTTCAAAGAAAAGATTTATTCATAACACATGGGAAAAGACCCAGGGAAACAGAGTTAATGATAAAAACTAAAAAAACTAAAATAAATAACGATAAAAACCCTGAAAACCATTAATTTCACACCCGAGCCTCAACTCTTGCGTCCCGGTACCAAACGACTCACAGACCAGTACCGGTCCATGTGCCGGGGGTTGGGGACCACTGCAGTACAGTATATAGAGAGATGAGACGACGGGCTCCAGTTACATCAGTACAAAAAAACAAACAAAAAAAAAGATAATAAATATACACTTTTAGTGTATATTTATTTAATCACTGGTTAATATTTAATCTTTGTCGCTCTTCCAGAGTCTTTTATCCTGTCTCCTTCCCCTCACATCCAACCGGCCAGGGCAGACAGCCGCCCCTTCCTGAGCCTGGTTGGTTGGTTCCTGTTAAAAGGGAGTTTTTCCTTCCCACTGTTGCCAAGTGCTTGCCCACATGGGGACATCTGATTGTTGGGGCTTTCTCTGTATTATTGTAATGTCTATACCTTTCTCATAATTTGGCACTCTATAAATAAAATTTAATTCTATTGAATATGTGAACTTGCCTGCTAAAGATACCTAACAGGTTTCCTTTCATGAGTGATGCAACTGTCTGGTTACATTCTGGTATGATTTCACACACTTCCTCCGTGCCTTTGAATGTGATGCCAACAGATACTTTACGACTGTGAGCATGTGATGATTTAGGAGTGCGATGTCTGCCCCATAACCCTTGTTCCAGAGTGCGTCACTCACCCACACCATACAACACATGACACCAACAACACAATTTGATACCCATGAATGAATGAGAAGGTGCTTGTACACCGCTGTGAGGGCTGTGAGTCACGGGTTAAGACAAAATAGTAAGCTCTTGTTTGGGATTGCATCACAAGTCCTGTGAAACTGGAGGTTTTTCACAGGCTATGGGTAGTTTAGGTCTAAAGACTAAAGAGCAATATGTAAGGAAAAAATGACTATGCAAACACCAGCTGGTACAGGCAAAATCAGTGCTGATGCTAGACTGATTCCAGCATACTAGCAGTTTTATGTAAAATAAATAAATAAATAAAAGCTGTCTGGCCCCTTTCTGTGTAAAGAGGGCATGCACGCCTTAGAAAACTGGTCTGTTTATCAGTATGCAGAGGGATCCATCAGGCATATGCACCTCATAGATGCTGGTCTCAAGTCAGATGTAATCTCTTTCATTTGACAGTGAAAATGTGTTTCTGCATCTCTTTGGCAAAGTGTTCAGTCTTGCACCCATAAAAATGGACTATAAAACTACCGTCACCCAGAAAATTGTATCAGAAAGTATTAGTAGGATCACAAATTATTTTAAAAAGTATTTGATAAAGTATTTTAAAGTATACTGAGTGTCATTCATTTTACCTACATACATATTTTTCATTGCTCTTTAAGGCTAAATCAAAACACTCATGGCGTAAAAACTGGTAATTTTTTATTTTCTAAAAGAAGTTGTTTTCTTCTGCAGCGACGTTTTCTGTGACACGAAAAAACTGCAGAATCTCATCTTAAAATAAAATTTATATTTAAAACAAACAAACAAAAACTCCCCTCACTGTCCTGTGTTAAAGTTTTGCTACAGCTTTTTATATGCCCAGGTTTCTTCTGGAAAAATACCTGCCCTTTAAAAGCCAAAGCGCAACCTCTTAAAAATTAATACGGCCATCTCCTGAAACTACAGATTTGGGGGAATACAGCAATAATAACACTGTCGTATCTGGATTGCAGAACAAGCAAACGCATGCAGTCTCTTGTTAAACAATAAGCGAGGTTGCTTGCACTTGATTGCACTGTGATTGCTCCATTCATTATGTGAATGCATTGAGTAAATGAAGTGCGTGAAGCTTGAGGAAATGTGACTGAGGGATCTGATTAATGTGACAACTGCAGATGGAAGAGAAAAAGAAGAAAGAAAAAAACACAAGAGAAAGGACAAGAAAAGACTCAAAGCACGAAGAGCTAGAGCGATTGTGAGGACAGGAGAGTGGGACGATAACATGAGAAAAATGAAGATGAGACTTAACGGCCAATAAGGCTGTCAGTAAGCCAGGATCTACTGTTCTATACATCTCTGTCCATCTCTTTTCCTACTCTAGTACCACTCGTTACACCCACTCCCCGACTTCATTGTCCTTTATAGCTTCTTTCTTTCTCACCCATCCATTTCCTATCCATCTGCCACTCAGTCTCACTTTTTGACCTCCCTTTTCATCCCACAACTGAAGCTATGTGCAAAAATAAGAGTTTAAGAGAGAGGAAGTCAAGTATGAAAATGGGAGGCTAAGACATTTAGCGGTGCAAGTTCTGGCCCGCTGACGGCTTTACCGACTAATATTGTCACGGTTCTGGGTCGGTTCGACCCAGTATTTTGAGTTCTGATGTTTTGGTTATTTTTGAATGATTGTGTTTTTCGGGTGCTATGATGATGATGATGATGATTATTATTAGAATTCCATGTTTCTGTTTATTCGTGTTTCAGGATTTATGTCTCATGTTTAGCATTGAGTTCCATGTGTTATATTCTGTCTGACTCTCAGTGTCTAGTCTGCATCCTTGTGTAGCGATCTCTTGTTTCCTGTTTTATTGTGAAGGTCTGCGTCTCATGTGAGTGTATTCAGTTTTACCTCCCTTGTCTCGTCTCGTTAATTACTCCCAGCTGTGTGTAATCTCCCTGTGTTTCTCTGAGTATATTTAAGTCGTGTCTTCTGTTGTTGTAGTCGCTGGTCCCTCTGTGTATCCATCAGATTTCATCCGCGTGTTCTTCCTGCTGTCCGTCATCACTTACCTCCGCCCATCCTTCTTCATGTTCGTGTCCTGGTTCATGTTTTGTAGTTTAGTTGTTCCCAGTTCAGATAGTCTGCAGTCCAGTTTACCGTTCTTCTATTTTGTACTTTACTTTCAATAAACCACCTTCACACCTTTAAAAGTGCCTGTGTTTGGATCCTACTTCATTATCTCCACACGGCTCACTTCACTCACCGTGACAAATATGAGTACCAGCCAAGTGTTGATATCTTTATTAAGCTGGGCTCTCCTGTTTTACGAAACTTCTCCATATATTTGAACATAGCCTCCTGGCAGTTTGTGAAAAACTTGCACAAACAGCCGTGTGTTTGTTTGTGGACACCAGATCTTTTTCTTTAGTGGAACACATTTATTTATCACACCTGGTAGAAATCATCTAAATACTTGAAGTCCAGTTTAGACCAACTCCAATTACTTCATCTTTGAGCCAACATGGTCAAATCAATCTAAGTGTCTGCACTGATGGGTCCAACTCATTTGAATTGTATCTCTTTGCAGGAGAGATCAACAGTAGACTCCACCCACTGGTTGCCCACTGGTTGCAGTCTGAGTCAGCTGAGAGCCACTTTCCAATTCTGCTGATGTTGGATCTCACGTCAGCCTTTGACACCATTGACCATCGCATCCTACCTGAAAGGCTAAAATACTGGGACGATCTGATATCCTTGTGTTGGTGTTGTTCCCTCGTCATCATAAATAATGTTGTTCAAGGTTCAACATTGCAAGTGACCAATCAGCTTCTGCTGACGTCATCCGCGACCTCGGAAAAAAACAAACGCCTTCAAAAAATCTACTTCACTTGCGAGAAGAGAAACCGCCTCTGTAAGGACAATATGTATAATGCTTACCGTTTATTAAAGGAAAGTATCCTGAAATGCAAAGAATTCAAGTTCCTGGATCGGCGGACAGAAGCGGTTTCTCTTCTCGCAAGTGAAGTAGATTTTTTTTAAGGCGGTATTTTTCAAAGGCACAAAAGGGGGACGTCACAACAATGTGATTGGTCACTTGCAATGTTGAACCTGGAAAAACATTTATTATGATGATGTGGGAACAACACCGACACGAGGATATCAGATCATCCAAAATACTGGGTTGGTGTAACTGGATCTGCTTT